TGCAGAGCCTAGAGGAGCGCCTGGTGACACTAGCTGGGGAACTAGGCCATGACAGCACTCCGCCAGCCAGGTCGGCATGGCCCCTGGTGCAGACAGAGCTGGCTGTGCTGGAGCAACGGCTGGTGTCGCTGGAGACCTCGTGCACCCCCAGCACCACCTCAGCCATCCTGGACAACCTCATGGCAGAGGTGAAGGCCTGGCAGAGCCAGATTGAGGCTCTTCTGCGCCAGGTGGCCAGTCACACAGCCCTGCTCCAGCAGCTCAATGGCACTGTGGCCCAGGTCCAGGGAAAGCTGGCAGAAGCAACGGGCAGCTCACTCCAGGGCGAGATCACGCTACTCAAGGTCAGTCTGAACTCCATGAGCAAGTCACTCACAGGCCTCAGTGACTCTGTCAGCCAGTACTCTGATGCCTTCTTGGCTGCCAACACATCACTGGATGAGCGGGAACGTAAGGTGGAGGCTGAGGTACACGCCATCCAGGAGCAGGTCAGCAGCCAAGGCTCACGGCTTCAGGCTGGCCACAGGCAGGTCCTGAGCCTGCGGAGGGAGCTGGAGCAACTCAAGGCCGGTGTGGCCGGCATGGCCGGCGGGTTGAGCCGCTGCCAGGACACAGCCCAGGAACTCCAGCATGCAGTGGGCCACTTCGACCAGAGGGTGGCACAAGTAGAGGGTGCATGTGAGAAGCTGGGCCTGATGGCTGCAGACCTGGAAGGCTTGCCCACAGAGCCACTCAGGCCCACGGAGGGCCTATGGGGCCACGTCGACCAGCTGAATCGCACGCTGGCCCAGCACGCACGGGACATCGCCCGCCTCCGGGACGACCTGCTCGACTGCCGGGCCCAGCTGGCTGAGCAGGCACAGCCAGGGCAGGCCAAGTAGGTGGGCTGGACAGGACCCAACCCCCAGATCCCGACAACCCTCAGGACATCAACCCAGAGCCCAGACCATGCCTCCCAGCCTCCCCTGGCCAGCGTGGATGTCACTTCAGAGACCACTGAAGAAACAGTCTTATTCTATCTCCACATGACTGTCTCAGGCACCAACATCCATGCTCAGTGCTGCACCCGCTGGATAATTCAGGATAGCAGTCCAGGCAAGTTCATCATGCCTGAAGGTCAGAGTGGACCTCAGAGACCGAACAATCCACAGTCTGCAAACTGCTTTTCTGTGGACCTGAGTCAGCACCTGTGCAAAGGCCTGCAGGGCCATTCTCAGACAGTGGCCTGTCCACATCTCCCTTTGCCCATGGGCAGTAGGCCCCAGCCCATGGAGGCCTCTGGTTCCTTTGTCCCCTTAGCTTCTCTACCCAGCCGTCGGGCTTGGTTTCTGCAGGAAGGTGGTACCCACCGGCACTGCCCTCACACCTAGCAGCTTCACAAATGTTGTTTCTGAACCAAGGGCCAGAGGTTGCCACTGCCCCATCCTGAAGGATGGAAGAGAAACATAAAGACTCAGCCAAGGGTTCTCTTTATTCCTGTCGATCCTCCCCCACAGTGAGGGGGCTTTGGCAGCTGTAGATTCCCAGAGGAGGACTGGGTCCAGGCGACCTGTTTGGAGACCCCAATTCAACTCATCCTTTTCCTACTCTAAGGATGTTTTCAGGACACTGGTTCCCACATGGTCCTCCCCTTTCCATTTGGGGGGAGATCTCTCCTTCCAGGTTAGGGCCTCTCTCCAAAGAACGGCCCTCTTGTATGTCATGGCCTGAACGAGGCCAGACCCTGGGCAAGAGGCCACAGCTGGAGGGAGAGGGCTCAAGGCCTAGTTTCCAACATCCTTGCAAGCCCGGCCATGCCTGGATATTCACAAAGTCATGAGAAGTTCAGGTATGACACCACCAAGGGACAATGTGAAAACACACGTGTTCATCCAGCCTGTGCTGTTCCCAGAGAACCTGATGCTCGTCTCTGCTGGGGCTCCTGGCCTCAGTTTCCACACAGCAGCCTGGGCCCTCCTGGGTTATTTTGTAGGTTCCTATACCCCCGCCTCCTGGTTTCCCAACATTTGGTATTCTGCCCTCCGCTGTGGTGCTGTTGGGAAGGGCAGGCCTGGATTAAAGCTTTTAGCCCATCTAAAGGTATTTTCTTCCCCAAAGACAGTGGGAGGGAAGGCTGCAGTGGGGTGTCAGCCCGGCTTCCCACAGCTCCTCAGGCAAGAGCTCGCTCAGCAGCTGTGTGGGCACTGAACTGACCAGCAAAGGCCAAGGGAAGGCAACAAGCCAACCCCCACCTGCCTGGCAGGATTTGGGGCTGTGTCCTCAGGGGAGGTGCTGGGAGGAGCAGGGGCAGCTGCTGGGGGCGGGCTAGGCCAAGTGGGAGCCACATTCCCTTGGTCTTTGCTCTGCCCAGGACTCCCCCTTTCCCGAAGCCGGAGGATACTGGAGCATCCAGGCTTGGGATGTGCTGAGATGTCTGGCTCGAGAGCTATGAGAAGGGGCCAGGGCTATGTAAGGGAATGGCCTCGGAGAGTGTGGGTGTTCCAGGCTCCCAGAAGAGGGTGGGGGAGCACTGTGTTCTTCCTAGATGTTAGTCAACTGTTCTCCACTGCTGCCACCAACCCTCCCTGTGCTTACAGCTCTCAAGCCTTCGTGGGGCCTCCCTGTTCTCTGTCCTATCAGGAGTTGAGGCAGAGTTCCAGGGTGATGGGAACAGATGTCAAGGATGTGGGGAATGCTGCATGGGCCCAGGTGACAAGCCTTTAATTGCTACAGGCCAGGGCCATGCTGAAGCCTGGAGCAGCTACCCCACCCCCTGCGGCTCAGCTGGCAGAAGTAGATAGCACAGGGAGGAGAGAGGCTGCCAACCAGCCCACAGCCCCCTCTTCCCCCTAGGGTTGGCCCTGTGGCACCAAGCTTCCAACCCTCTATGCCCTGGGACATCAGTCAGTTCTGGGCCAGGCCAGGGAGGAGAGGGTAGCCAGGGCCGGTTCAGGCCAGAGCGTCAAGGTCCACAGTGGTCAGTGGCTCGCGCCAGTAGCAGAAGTTGCTGTATTCAGGGTTAGCCAGATCTGTGCCAGGGCCACAAGCCACAGGTGGAAACAGGAGCTCAACCACCTCGCCGAGCCGCTCGTATCTATGGGCAGAACGGGGCCAGCACTGAGAGCCTGAGCTGCCACCAGGCCACAGCCTCTGTCACATCAGGCAGAGACTCTGCACCCTGCCTGGGAGCCCTGGGCAAGGAGTAGAGTCCCTGGTGGGAGTACGGAATTGGGACCCAGGAAGAGGCTGAGGCATGGGGACGTATGTGGCAGGGCGTGGGGGACACGTGGCAGGGTTTAGCCTTACGTGGATTTGTGATTCTTCATGGGCTCCTGGATGAGTTCTCCCCGGGGGTTGACTGTGAAGATGCGAGATTCAGGTAGGCCCACCTTCCGGTAGGCAATGACATCCTATAGGGGACAAGAAGGGGCTGGTGGGCTGGGAGGTAGGGGGAGCTGGCTCAGCCCTCGGGTAGGGGACACACTCACGTTGGGCCTGTTTCCGAAGGCGGCATAGAAGGGCTGTCCATGGGGCAGAAACAGCCGCCGGATGTCACTCAGGCAGGCGATCTTGAACACCTCCGGCTTCTTCTCAATCACCTCCCTGGGGAGCCGAGGCCACGGGCAGGGAAGGGAGCCAAGGAGGAGTAGCCATCAGAGGATGGCAGAGCCAGGTGACAGAGCTGGTGCTGGCCTGGCCAGGGCTGGCAGCAGCCCTGTACTCCACCTGGGGCGGTGGGCTTGTATCGTGTCGCGGGGAGGGGGCGGTTTACCTGTGCAGGGCGGAGAAGAGGCTGCTGGGAGACAGCAGGATGGGGCCCTTGGGGAGGCCGTAGCCCCGCTCGCTCACCCACTGCAGGTACCCCTTGGTGAGGTCAGCCATGCCGATGGCCCGCGCCGAGCAGTATAGGAACTTGTACCCATTTCTGGGGGTGGCACAGAGTCGTCAGGGACCAGCCATTCCTCATCTCACCCTCCTGGCTTTAGGCCCATCCTAAAGCTCAGCCCAGCCCTGGGCCTCTGGCCTCCAAACCCAGAGGCTTTTGCAGGGAGGAGACTTAGGGAGAACAGCTAGGCCTGAGAGAGGTGGCCTCAGTAGCTGTCCCAGGTAGAAGAAGCATGGACAGAGTCCTGAGGCCCAGGTGGACAGGATGGACAAGGTTTTGAGCAAGTCAGACTTCCTCTACCGCGTGAAGGCCAGCAGTCAGACTCAGATTGCAGACCACAGAATTGAGGACTGGTGGTGGGTCTCAGCACTCCAGGGACATGCCCTGGCTCCTTCCCTTGTGGGCCCTGCTGGTCCCCAAGCCTGGCTTCCCAGGGCCGAGGCCAGGGTAGCCCAAGATGTCTTGTCATTCCCTCCCCAGGGTGCTGCCCAACCCCCACCCTGGCACTCACAGGTGGATTTTGTGGTACAGACTTGTGATGCCCTGGTGTGTCCAGTCTTTCCCCAGCTGGGGCAGAATGTGGCCCAGAGCGTCCGACCTAGAGTCCAGAGGAGGGGTCACTCCAAGGCAGCCCCACATGGCCCTCGTTCCATGCATGGGGCTCAATAAGGTCCAGCCCCCAGCCCCAGGATGGTACACTGGAAGGCCCTCTGACCCTGTCTGCCCACCCCCAGAACAGAGGGAGGTGAGTTTCCAGGCCTTTTCCCCCCTCCTCCTGGCCAACCAGGCTTCACTTGGTGATGGTGCCGTCGATGTCTGAGATGACCACCTTGTCGTCCCATTTCCACAGGTAGATGGTGGCCCTGCAGCGGCAGGTGCCCTGGTACTGGGTTGTCACGCTGAAGACCACATCGTTGGCACCTTCTTGCAGGTTCAGCCGCCGCTGGGGACGGGCAAAGGGGGTGAGCTGCAACAGCTGGGCACTGTCCACTCCCTGCCTGCCCCCACCCCACAAACTGTGGCCTTTGATTTCTAGGCCTCTCATTCTCCTCTCCTCCCAACTCAGAAAACCTGCCTGACTTCATCAGAGACAACCACGCACATACGCATCCACGTGGGCAGAGGGGTGGCCACAAGGAGGAAGTGAGGGGGTGCTAGTGGGGCCCGTACAGGAGCCTTAACTTTCCTTCAAGCTCCTTTGGGGTGACATTCAAAAACAAAGCCTGGCCCATGGCTCCCGGCAAGTTTCTCAGGTCCGTCCCAAGGCTAGGATTGCTCTTGGTAGAAACACACTGCACTCCACAGAAGGGGCCCTGCAGAGATCCCCCCAGGCAGCCCCCTGCCTGGGACTATGGTACCTGTGATAGCCCCCAAAGATAGACCCAACTCTGTGCTTGGTCCACTGAGAAGGATCAGGATAGCTCTCAGCCACAGCCGGTGACCAAGGCCTCTAGGCCCTGGCTGACCCAAGTCACGTGTGAGCCCCAGGGTACTGCACAGGTGGCAGCTGCTCTGTACCAGGCCAACCAGGCCCCCCTGGGCACCTCCTTGACCAAGGAGTCACACTTGGGGAAAAAACATTCTAATTACAGGAGCCACCAGTTACTGAGCTTGGAGATATGACTCGGTGGCCTGGGGTTCCCCAAATCGAAGGGACTGTCGTCAGCATTTGATTCCTTCAGTGTGGCTTCTAAGGGAAGACCCAGAGCCAGCTGACCCACTGCAGGTAGATATTTTAGGATGGCATAGAGAGAGCTCTTCCAGTGAGAATGTGACAGGAACAGGCTGGCACATAAGGACGTGAGCCTCCTGCCCCTGGAGGTATTCAAGTAGAGGCTGTTAGGCAGTCTGCCAAGGGGATGGATCCTGGGCTTTGTGGCTTCATGAATGTGGCTCTGTGGAGCCATTCCTTAGCCGGGCCCTGTGGGGCCCTGGGACGGAGTTATCACAGCCCCACCACCCCTACACAAATGTCCCCACGCACACACTTACGATCTGATCGGAGGAGAGGTGGAGGGACTTCTTGTAGGTAGGAGTGTAGGCTGGAGGTGAGGGTGGCAGGGAGGGAGCCTCCAGGATCACAGGGCTGTCTGGGGCGTCATCCTCGCTGCTCAGGACATCAGTCTTCTCCCTGCAGGCAGCCTGGCTCTCAGGCCACCTCTCCCCAGCAGAAGGCCCTGCACTCCCAGGAGATGCTCACCGCCCAGGCCAGGCCATAAGAAGCCTGGGGCCTGTCCCTGCCCCTCCAGAGACTACCCAGGGGATCAGAAACCCCTCCTTCTAGGTGCCACCCATTTTGGGGGTGGTAGCAGACTAAGTATGCAAGCCGCAGTCTACACCCAGAAAGGTGACAGCAGAGCTGAAGCCCAGAGCCTGGTCTCCCAGCGCTCAGTGAGTCTCCACAGCCAGGATGCCAGTGCCTGCCTTGGAGATATTTATTTACCTGAAAAACTTAGAGGTGTGTTTTAGGGTTTATTCCCAACCCCACCTGCTTTGGCTTTAGTTGATTCATCCTTGGTCATCCCCCATTGGGTGTTCTGGGTCACTTCAGAGGTATAAACAGAAGCAAGGTCCACTGTCCCCTGGGGGACGGGGAGGCCCGCCCCTCCTGATACAGTAGTAGCCCCTTGTCTGGGCACCCGTTCAAGCTCTGCCAATTCCTGGCTGTGAGACCACGGATGTGTTTCTAAGTCTCAGATTTCCCATCTGTGAAATAGGGGCATTTCTCAGGAAAAAGGGTATAGAAGTGATTGGGGACTGACAGAGAACCATGGCTGGGGGAGGGGTGCTGCCCTCATCTCTGTCCCCCACAGTGATCCTCCCCGGGCTCCAGCTCCAGCCAGATCGACTCACCCCCTTGGGTCCCTGGCTGTGGTCTTGTCCCTCTGGGCACTGTGCTGTGGGAAGAAAATCCACCTAGTGAACTCCAGCGCCTGCCTGTGCTGGCCTTGCCCTGGGACTGTGACCACCCACCTCCTCAGCTGGGAAGTCCCTGCGTCGCCAGGAGAACCACCACCGCCCACCCTTCCGGGGCATCTTCTCCTTCTCCAGCTTGTCCACGGTGCTCTGTGGGCAGAGGAAGGCCATGGCATTTTTCCCTGTACCACACAAACCCACCTTAGATTGTCCTTGGGGCTACCATGAGCCCAGAGTCTGGGGTTGACCCTCAAGCAAGGTACTGTCAATGACTGGATGCTGAGGAAGCATATTCGCCTCCAATCCCGGGATTCAGGGAGCTAAGCACAGGAGACCAAGGGCTACTCCTATCTACCCCCGCCCCACCACAGCCCTGACTCCCTAGCTCTAGCCCAATCTCGGCCTGCCCTCCAAATCTGGCAGGTCAGTCCCCTTCCTAGAGTAGCTGAAGGCAGTGCTTTGGGAGTTTCTCAAGATCTACTACTCCCTGCGTGATGCCAAGTAGCAGCAGGAAGGACAGTCTATAGCCAGTACTTCCCTCAGCCTCCAAGATCAACACAGGCAACTTCTAAGGTCAGTGATTCTAGAGTGATAACAGCCTCCCTCTCTGTATAGTACCATCACTGTCTGGTGGGGGCAACATGACCTTGCGAAAAATGCCAGTTAGGTTTGTGCTAGATAACCCCGCTGACAGCCCAGGCCCACCTGGGACCCACATCAGCTTCCTACAAATGGAATGGTATGCCCAAGTCAGGAGGATATGGGTTCAGGGTGGGTTGGCCAGGGTGCCCACTTGAGCTGGGAACAGGCTTGGAGAGTCTCCCAGGGGCCTCAGTCTGGGTAAGGTGAGAAGAGACAAGCAGGAGAGTGACCCTCTTCCATCCTACAGGCTGTGGTCCTAGCCCAGACCCAGAGCCAGCCAGAAGATGGAGCTGAGTATCATCAAAGGGAGGCACCATTTGTCAACATCTGGTTAGTGATGTTCTTTGGGCAACTCTAGCCGAGTGGAGAACAATAGACCAGGGTGGGGCCCTGGACCACTCCCAGAGGGGCAGAAGGGTCAGGTGCAGGCTGGCACAGGGTGAAGGTTCTGGGAGGGACCAAAGAGGTTGGGTTCCTTCCTACCTCTGAGCATCTGCACGTGCTGTCCCCACCCCTTGACTGATTAAGGCTTACTTGTCCTTCTGACCTCTGCCCAGTGCGTACTTGCTCAGCAAACCTCCCTGTCGTAGGCTCTCAAAACACCCCAGACCTCTCCTTCTCAATACTCATAGTTAAATTTTATATTCATCTGGCTGAGTGTTTGATTAACTGTCTTTCTGTGAGGGCATGAGGGTCCCTGGCACACAGTAGGTACACAACACATATGTGCTGACAAAGCCAGCAAGTACCCGAAGCCCAGCCTGGAGAGGTTCTCAGGGTAAGGTGAGGAGGGGGGCCTCTGTCTCCCAAGCCTTGTCTCTCAGATCTAAAAACCTCCTGTTGAAGGCATGTCCCTGTCAAATGTTTATTCCCCCTCTGGTGTGTTCTGAGCTCCTCTGAAGTAAAGTCCAAATCCAACAGGATTCAGCCATGTGGAGAAAGCAGGGAAGGGCTGGGCTTTGTCCACACAGCATGGGGGAGGCTTCAGGAGACCTTAGTCTCTTCTCCCAGAGTGGGTCTTGCAGCCAGTCAGCCCCAGGCCTATCTCTGCCCGTGCTCCAGTTCTTGGCCAAGGGTCCCCTACCCCAACACTATGGCCACTTTCCCCAGGAGGCCCAGCGGCGCTCTAACCTTTACCTTGGGCAAGTTTTTCTGGAATGCTTGCAGGGAGAGGATCATGGGGGCAGCTACAGCCCAGTTATAATGCCTGGGGAGACAGAACAGGGTGTTGGGGCTACAGTAGCTGCAGGGCCATAAAGGCTGGGGGTAGGGGGATGACCCCTGGGGCTGCCAGCGGCCCGGCCCCAGTACTTACCTCTCATTGATTTTTACCACCAGGTTCGGGTCATCCAGAAGGCCGGGGTTTTTGGTGAGGTCCTGGTAGGAGACGATGTGCTGGTTGAATTTCTCTGGGCACAGAGGCAGAGAGTGAGGGGGGAGGCCGACACATCCCATGCAACCCACTGTCCCAGTCCCTCCTGGCTCCCCTGCACTCTGCCACTCTGGCCTCCTGCAGGTTGGGTCTTCGACCTAGCAGGGCTCCTCCCTACCTGTGGTTTTTGCACCTGCTCTTCCTACCCCAGGCCCTGGCCATCCTGGATTCATGGGATAATTCACGGCTTAGCATCAAGCATTTGCTTCTTGGGGCCTTGGGAATACCCCACCCTTGCTGGCTGAATGTGGGCTCCATAGGGCAGAGAACAGTAGGGGCGCCTGGCTCAGCCTCACACCTCTGCTGCCCTACCCCATGGGGTCCTCTTTGCCCTCCCCAGCCACCAGGCTCAGTGCCAATCCTCAGACAGGCTTGGGCCACGGTCAGACATACCCAGGGAAATGTCTCGGCTGTCAGCCAGTCCACCACAGAGGGACAGCACTATCATGTCTGGAGTGGGTTCTGGCTCCTGTTCGGGGCTGGGGTCCCCCAGGTGCTTCTGGCTGCTGGGTTCACTCCACCTCCTGGCCCCCAGCCCACAGTCACTGGGGACAAAGGGGCCAACAGCGACATGAATACAAGGAGGCTGGGAGGAAGGGCCTCACCTCTTGATAGCTAAACCCTGGTCCCACAGGCCCCGATTCCGAGACACCCTGGCACCCAGAACCCAGCCACCTCTGGGGGAAGTAAAGGGCTGCATTCTCAGAATCCAGAGAGGACAAGTCATCCAGGTAGATGTCACTGGGACCCAGGTGCTGGCTTCTCTTCAGGGAGCCTGAGGGCAGAGGAGGATCCAGCTGTAGACCTAACATGTGCTCAGTAATGTGAGCAGTGCATGTCCCCCTGGCCTTTGAATGCCTTAAAGCAGTGCTGTCTGGTAGACTTTCTATGCTGATAGAAATATCCTATGTCTACATGTCCAATACAGTAGCCACTAGCCACAGGTGACTATTAGCACACTTAAAATGTGGTGTGATGGAGAAACGGAATTTTAAATGTTATTGAATTTTAATTAATTTTAAATAGTAACTACCGATTTGGGATAGAACTCAGCTCGTGACCGGGAATGTCCAGCCTCTTCTCATCTCTCTGGCTTCTTCTCCCAACCCTCTCCCCTGCCTCGCTCAAGACATACCAGCTGCCTCAGTTCCTGGACATGAAACTTCTCTCCTTCCTCATGGCCTTGGCACGTGTTGTTCCTTCTGCCTAGAATTGTCTTTCCCTGATCCTCGCTTGGCTAGCTCTTTATCATTCACGTCTCAGCTCAAACATCCCCCACTCAGGGAAGGCTTCCCTAACCACATGATTTAAATAGCCCCTGTCCCACCCAATGATCTATCCCATGTCACATTCTCCCTGGTTTCTGTGTCATTCGTCTGCCCCACTGGACTGTGAGCCTCATGAGGGCTGGTGCCAAATATAGTATCTGGCACACAGTAGGTGCTCAAAATGTGCTTGAAGTCACAGAATCCACCGAGAGGGTAACATGAGTCCAGGCAAGCACTGGGGGCATCCAGCCATCACTCACCTTTCCTCCTGGAGACCCCTTCTGGCTGTCCAGTGGGAGCTGGACCCTCCAGAGCAGCCCAGCTCCAGGATTTCGAGGCAGGAGGGAGGTCCGCATCCTTGGACCAATGAGTTCTGGTTTTCTCTCTCTCGGGGGCGGGGAGAAGGGGACCCACCAGAGCAGGCACCTCCATGTCAGGCTGAAGGTCAGTGCCGGCCCCTGTTTGCAGGATTAGGGGTCCCAAAGGGTCATCACCAGGCACAGAGGTGGAGGGGGAGCTGGGCGCTCCCTGAGGAGAGGCTTTCCTGGTGCTGCCATCAGGGACCATTGAGGACGCAAGCCACTCAGCTTTGGCCACCTTCATTCAAAATGGTGGAGAATGTGGGCCAGTGCGGGGTCTGCCTCCCATACCCACCAAGGCCTTGGAGAAGTGGCCCAAGTCATTCCAGTCCTGACCCACAGCGGTCACGGAGCCCCAGGTGGGCAGGGAGGGGGACTGACACAGAGGAACTCACCTTAGGCAGCCTCCCCCAGGCCCACTGCATGTGGGACTCAGCTCTCAGCGGGCTGGGCTCAGGGATCCGCACCTCCAGCTCCGAGTCGCTCTTAGGGGATGTTAGCCCACCCGATGGGACGCTGCGGGAAACAAGAGCTCAGAGGCTCCTCAGCCAGCCCGTCACTCCCTACCGCCCACCCGGGCCTGGGAAAAATATTTGCAACACACGGTTATACCCATGTTGGATCCAGAACATATAAAGAATACATAAATATATAAAGAACTCATACCAATCGACAGTAAGAAGGCAGTCTAGTAAAAGCAAAAATAATGGGCAAGGTTGTGACTGCTTAATTGATATAGGGTTTCCATTTGGGGTGATGAAAAAGTTCTGGAACTAGACAGGGGTTGTACAAGATGGTGGCATGACCCTGTGAATATACCAAATGCCACTGAACTGTGCATTTTAAAATGATTAAAATGGTAAATGTTATGTGCATTTTACCACAAATTTAAAAAATGGGCAAAAGACTTGAATAGCACTTTACAAAGGAGATATACAAATGGCGGGTTAAACACATTAAACATGTTCTAAGCCATTATTCATCAGAAAAATGTAAATGGAAACCACTGTGAGACCTTGGCCTTGAGTCCCTGCCTGCAGCCTGCCCAGACTCTCACCTGGCCTGCGGGGGCCACTCTTCATCAGAGTAGGGGTAGATGTCTTTGGGCTGCGGTGAGGACTCCCCTTCTGACAGGATACTGCTGAGGGGCCACAGGGAAATAAATGGTCACTGATAGTACAGGGCACCCTGGGCAGGGCTTGGGAGCCTCGATGTCAAGGACGTGGGGAGGTGAAGCCGCTAAAGCCCAGAGAGGTCAAGGCCCTTGCCCAGGATCACACAGCGCCAGCAGAAGAAACTGTGCTTAAACCCTGGTTGGCATCCTCGCACCCTTGGCCCCCACTTGGTCCCCACACACCCTGGGGGCTCAGGCCTTGGCTTTTCCAGCTGGGACAGCTCACTCTCAGCGCCTGCCTCCAGCTCCTCAGAACTAGAATCTGCTGCCGTCATGTCCTCCTTCCGCCTGGATTTCCTCCTACGAAGCCTCTTCTTCCGCCCCGTAGAGGCCACACCCATGATGATGTGCTCAGGTTCACTGGCTGTACCCATTTGGGAGTCCGAGGGGAACCCAGACAGGTTCCCCCAAGGTATGGGCGATGTGCACAGGCGGGGAGGCACGTGCTCCTGTGGAGTGGACCAGGGGCAGGACTGAGGGGCTCTTGTCACCCAGTCATCCTGAGCCCTGCCGGAGTCCCAAGCCCTGGAGTGAGCTCTTTTGGAGTCAGGAAAACAGGCGTGGAGGCTGGACAGAGGTGGCAGCAGCATGGCCTTGCAACTGCTGCAGGCCTCAGAGCTCCCTCGCAGAGGTAAGACGTACCCCTGGCATGTACCCCTGGCAGCCCATGGCAGGCCAGGGTGCTGCATGGACCACACCGTGCCATCTGCTCTGCCCATACCTACCACAGTAAACACCTGCTTCCTTCTTAAGAGTCAGCCAGGTATCGCCTCCTCCAGGAAGTTTGCCCTGACTATCCCTCAGCCTCAGTTCCAGCCCCCTTCACTGTAATGAACATAGTTTCATCATCCGTTGTTTATGTGTCTGTTTCCCAAGCTTAGTCTGGGAATCTCTTTGAAGGCAGTGGTCAACCCCTCCAAGTCCACTGCACAGTGTCAGGCACACAGTAGGGGCTCAGTTAAAGTCTGTCAAGCTCAAACTATTTAAACACCTCTTCTGGCTTTTGCTGGGCCTGCTTTCCTTCTGCAAACACCCCTCTCTTCATCCCTCACCCACACACTTCCATGTTCCAGCTACACTGAACAGGCCCCAGATCCAGAAAAAGCCATCTTATGCTTTCCAACTCGAGCCATTCCTCAGCACCCTCCTCCTCTCCAGGCTGCCCAAGGAAGGCCTCCTTTGCCTTTTAGGGGACCAGCTTAAGTGTCTTCTTCTGAGAAACCTTCTGCCAACTTTCTTTGGGAAGTAAGTCAGCCCTCGCCCCCGCCTTCCCTCTCCACCCCGCAAATCCACCCAGACTCCAATAGCATATCAAGAGCGCCAGCACCAATCCATCCCCTTATCAGACCCTTGCTGATGCAGTACTCCCAGGGGTAGGGACAGTGACAACTCCCAAGGACCCACCCATAGGGGGCACTAGTGAAGGGGCAGAGGCAGGTGCTGTCAAGAACAGAGGCACTTACCTCATCACTCTCCAGCTCTTGGACAAAGAAGGCCTCCCCACTGTCCCCCAGCTTCATGTGCAAGTCCACTGGCTCCCCATTAATCTCGATGTCTACCTGTAACGGAGTGTGATGGGGCAGGGGATGCACGGTCCCCACCATTGGCCCTCATGCTCATGCTCCAGTCTGCTGGCCTCCCAGCTGCCCCCGAGCCTTGCACTTGCTGGAACTCTCTCCCTCCTACCTTGGCCTGCCTGGCTGCTCCCCGCCCACTCTGAGGATCTGCTTCTTTAGAGTTCCCTTTCCTCAGAGAGACTTGGCTGAGCTTCCCCGCCGCCAACATTTCCCCATTCTCTGGGCTCTGTTGCATTGCATGTCATGGTCTCAGTATTCTTGTTTATGCTTTGGTTTCTATGTTCCTCTCTCTCCCACACCCCATAAGAACAAGTACATGATTCATCTCGTCACTATTGTGTCTCTAGCCCCAGGATAGTGCTCAGACATTTGTTGAATACATCCACAGTGCTAAGAATTGCCATTTCCTAGGCACTTAATGTAGTGTTTTGTTTAGGCCATCTTGTTTAATCTTCACAACAACCCTTTAGTAGCTCCTGCCATTGTCCCCACTTTATGGATGAGGAAACTGAGGCCCAGAGGGTTAAGAAATTTGCTGGGAAGTAGCCAAGTGAGGCTATGAACACGGAGAGTCTGAGTCCATAACCCAAGCCCTTAGCCACGTAGCTAAACTGTCTCCCACAAGTTTACACTTTCTTATCAGAATTCCAGAAAGCTCATCCCAGTGTGAAGGGGATTTGGGCTGACCAAACCTCTTTTCACACACTGCATCTCAGTGCTGACGAAAATCTGTCATGTTTGCCTGAGCCCACTGGAGACAGTGCAGGCTTCCTAAGGGAGAAGAACTAACCATTGACTGTCACCCACAAGCCTGGCTCTGGGACGTGTCATCAGCTCCTATTTAATCACCAGGCAGAAGACGTGAGTGTATCCATTTGCACAGGTGAAGTGACTTACCAAGAACACACAGGTAAGGTCTTACTAAGCTGGAGCCAGGTCTGATGGCCCCAGAACTGGGGACTGCCCCACTGTGCTGCTTCCAGGGGAAAATGGAACCCTCTTGGACCAAAACCCCCAAACCAACCCAAAACCTTCAAAGAAAATACAGAAAAAAGTGAAGCCTGTCCAGAAGACAGAGCCCCACCTAAGGGAGCCTGCCTCCTCTCCCGGGACTGCAGCGGCTGCCCTCGCTTAAAGAGCCCACTCGGCACTGGCCCCTCGGCCAGCTGTCGGCACTTACCACCTTCTCCCGTGACCGCAGGACACCCAGCTTGCCGAAACGCACGTGGAAGGGTGAGCATCGAAAAGAGCCATCCGCCTGCTTCACCACCAGCACATCGATGCCACCACTCAGCGTGGCCGGATTCAGGCCCTGGTACAGCTCCTTCACTGTCCCAAACACCGTGCCCGCCAGCTGCCCCACGTAGTTCATGGCTGGGGCTGGCAAAGGGAGGTGGTGCTGGGACTAAGGCCTGGTCTCCCTCCCTCCATAGGGAGGCTCTGCAACCTGACCCCCAGGTCCCCAGGCTTACCCTCGGAGCGCCTTTGAAGGTAGGTAGCAGTCTTGGGTTGGGAGGTGTGCTGGCGGACGTGGGATCTACCTGTGGCTCACCCACTGACCAGCTCTGGGACTCCTGGATAGCCGCCTTCCTTCTCTAGGTGCTGATTGCATCTGTAAAATGAGGGCACGGGGTAAGGCGATCTGGGGTGCTCTAAGCCTTTAAATGCCATGAGTAATGATAATGATCATGGTACTCGGTGGCAGGGATCATTTCGTCTTCACAACAACTTGTGGGGCTGGCCGAGTGGGTGTCATTATTCCTGTTTACAGACAAGCCAGCTGAGGCTCAGAGAGGTGGAGTGACTTGCCCAGGATCTCACGACTAGTAGAGAGGACCTGGGATTTGAACCCAGGCCTGTGCAGCTGCAGAACCCTAGGCGTGAACCACTGGGATGGCCCAACTAGGGGAACAGGAGGAGGTAGGCACCCCTTCCTGCAGCCAATGAGGAGCCGCCTCATGATATATTAGAGGCTGGGCCCTGCGGGGTAATGCCCTGAAGGAGAATATCTTCTCAGGAAGTGGGGAGGAGGGCATCTCAGTGTTTCCATCTGAGAGATGGGTTCAGCTGTCTCGCTGCCTTCAGGTCCTAGGAGTTGGAAAGGGCCTTGCTGGTCTATCATGGCTGATTTGTGGGGAACCAGGTAGCTAAGGCTCTGCCCAACTCTATTCCTGGGGTCAGATGCTCAAGGCCTGGCCTCCCCTATAGCTGCAGGTAGAGGGAGCTGCCAGTTTAAGGTCCCAAAGTCCAAAGTCCTTCCCAGTTTCCTTGGGAGGGTTGGAAGTCTGTCCATGACCCGCAGCTGACCCCAGTGTCTCTAGGCCATAGTCCTCAGCTCTGACACCCACTCCTCAGACCCACATCCAGGCTGTGGGCTGGCTCCTGGCCCGTCAAGGCTACTCCTCCTTTCCTAGCCAGACTGGTCTCTCCAGCTTTCCCACACCAGACACAGCTGGGTGAGCCAGAAGCGGGAGGCTGTGGCAGCCACGGAGAAAAGCCAGGGCTATAATGAGAGCCGCCTCCACACTGGCATGGTGCCTGCCCACCAGCTTCAGTTCATTGCCCTCCCCACCGGCCAGGCCAGTAGTCCACTGTCCTTCTGGCTGCCAGGACCTAGACCATCCCACCTCCATGGGGCACTTCCTTCTTTCAGACCCCGCATCAGAACACCCAGAGGACTGCCTCCTATGCAAGACCACGCCTCAAAGATGTTAAGTGACTTATCCAAACTCTGTTAAGAAGCCATAGATGGGGGGAGGAAGGGATGACTCATATCCTGGTTTCCTGACTCCATACCATGGTTCCTTCTACTCCATGGTCCCCAAACAAAACCACACAGTTGTCTGCGGAGAGGACAGCTTGGCCCACAGCTCCCCTCTGCACAGCCCTGTAATGCCTTGCCACTCAATGTATGGTCCCTGTCCAGCGGCACCAGTGTCACCTGGGCGCTTGTTAGAAAGGTGCAGCTCCACACTCACCAGGTACAATTTGAATTGCAAAGTGAACCCGGGGATCAAATGAAGCTCTTTAGACCCCAAAAATGTCACTCAAATTTAATGAATGTTTCATCTGCAAGGCACCCACTCCGTGCTGGGTGAAAATTTCCACTTTGGTTTCTCCTGACCTAACGCCAAACTCTATGAATATAGGTCTGAGGAGACAGACTAACAAGGACGGACACATGCTGGGCTGGGCTCTAGACCACGGTGCCCAGGAAAAGTAGAGAGGAACTTCCAGAAGCTTCCAGAAACAAAAGAACAAGCCTGGGAAAGGTAGAAGACCAGGGGTGGGGGCAAAGGTCTGCCCAGCTGGAGGCCCAAGCATGAGCTATTTGCTCTGGTGAGGACAAAAGAGCTTGAGGTGGGGTGGGGAGGCGCAGTGCTCAGCTCAACCTAGGACAGAGTTTCTCAGCTTTGGAATCACTGACATTTGGGAGCTGGATAGTTCTTTGTTTCGGGGGGATTGTAGGATGTTTAGCAGCATCCTGGTCTTTACCTACTAGATGCCAACAGTACTCCCCCCTCAGTTGTGACAACCAAATGGTCTCCAAACATTGTCAAAATTGGCCTTGCTTGAAAACGACTGAGGTAGTAGAAAGAGCTGATGGCAGAGATGGCACCCAAGGGCCCTGGATCTCACTCTGACCACCCATGGAGCGTCCTCAGGCAAGTACCCTTCTGGCCTGAGTTTCCCCTTCTGTGAAACGAGGCTTCAATTTTTCACATCCTTCTCCACCTAGAATTCATTCCCCTCCCTGTTCCCCTCACCCCCACCCCATGAGTGGATGTCCCCACATCTACCAGCTCAGCATCTGGGGTGGGGGGGTCTCCTGCGAACCAGGTCCCGAGCTCCCCTCCTCTACCTGCACCCATTCCTGCAGGTATCTCCTCTCGCCAGGACCAGCTCTGCCTCCTTGCTCTTCTCCAGATGGAGGGAAGCTCTGCTCGGCTCCCCTATGCCGTCCTTCACCCTAAACTAACAGGTCTAAAATCAAACACTTCATCTGCCCCCACCCGGAACCCCAGTCAGCTGAATTCCTCTCAGGACCCAAGCCCTCTGAATCCTTTTCCCCAATTTCCTGCTCATCTGGCTCCTCCTTTCTCTTCCTGCTGTCCTAGGTCAAGGCTTTATTACTGATGCCTAGATCCTGGGTGGTAACAGGACACTGTGGGTAAGGCACCAGACTGGGTTCTAATCCCCTCCCTCACACTTAACTAGCTGTGACCTTGGGCAAGTCATTTCACCTCTCTGAGCCTGTTTCAGCCTCTGAAATGCGGATAACGTAAGAGATGCATGAGTAATTAATGACGTAATTCATGTAAAGCACCGGCGTGCAATAAACGCCCATTCATGTCCCCTATCAGCAGCAGCATCTTTTTTGGCATCGTGACCACTCACCCAGGCTAGTCCTGATGACACTACAAGTCAGACTCCAATGCACTGTCCCTGTCTGCAATTGAGAGTTTAGACTTCTTAACTCAGCATTCAAGGCCCTACATGATGGTGGCCCCACTGTTTGCAAAGTGAGCAGGCGGATTCTGGGCAGGCCTCACAGGGAGCCCAAGCCTCAGAGCCCAGTCCTGGGAACACCCGTAGACCCACAGGCCATAACATAACCCCACCATAGGGAAGCCAGAATGAGCTGCTGTGGGTGGGAGCTTTCAGCCTTTCAGCTCCCAGATTTGGGGGAGGGGCAAGGAGGGGGCTCTGCACCTAAGACCAGTGGGAGCAGGAGGATAAGCATTCCTATAGCTGTGGAATGGGGAAAGCCAACCCCGCTCCCCAGTGGCCTTCACAGCTGCCCAATCCGATCCGGCCAGTCTCAGGGCAGGCAGGCCAAGGGTCAGACCCTGCTTTGCAATTGAGGATACTCAGTACCAGAGAGGGTGGGTGTCCTCTCCAAAGTCAGACAGTCAGCCTAGGGTGACGCTGGGCCAGCCTCCTCTGAGAGGTTTGTCAACTTCCTTATCTCTTGATCCCATGTTCTGGATGTTAGGGGCGGCCCGCAGCTGCTGGGCCGGGAACCAGGACGAAGCGAGTTCCTCCACCCCTGAGTTCCCTTCTGATGGCAAGAGATGGCCGTGGCCCGCGCGAACAGGAAGAAACGAGGTTCGGATGGCAGGACAGATGGGCGGGGCAAAGCAGGACCCGGAGAGGGGTCTTCTCAGGCCCAGGTTGGGCCCTACCTGGGGAGCTGACCACTGGACCTCCGGGACTCGGAGTCGCCGCCTCTACCTGAGTGCACAGGGTCAGCAGGTAGCGTCCTCAGCCCCACACTCGGCGATTCTGGCTCTTCTAGGGCGGGGTGAGATCCCGGCTCCGCCCCTTCCACGAGCAGAGGGCGGCCTCCGTAGGCCCCAATCGGTCTAGACTCCACCCCCGAAGAAACCCCGCCCCCTCTCAGTCCCCACGCCCTAAGCCGCTCTTTCACCTATAGAAGCTGGGCGGGGTCAGAATTCAGGCCCCGCCCCACGCAGGCCCCCGCCCCGCGTCCTAGACCTGCTTAGGAGGACTATGCTGGGAGCCCGCCACCTGCCCCTTGCCAGGAGCGGAGGAAAAAGGACCTTCGATTCCGGCCGACCTAGGTCTTGCTGGCTTTGCTTCTAGCTCGCTGTGTGACTTTGGGTAAGTTTTCCACAATCCGAACCCGTTTTATGCTTTGTCAAAGGGAATAGCCACCTTGCAGGATTTTCGACATTACATGAAAGGACTTTATGAAGTACCTGGCGCTCAAACATCCCCTCCTCGGGTGCAACTTTCCCTGACTCCCCCATCTCCATCCCACCCCCAGACTGGACAGGACCCTCGTATCATATGCTCACAGAGCCCACAGTTGTAATTTCATATTTGCTTGAATGACCGTATGATTATTGTCTGCCTCTTTGTTTGAATTTGAACTCTATGAGAGCAGGCCGCGTTCATCTTTACACCCTAGCCCCCAGTTCAGTGACTGACATATAGCAGAAGCTCCATAAAAGCCCGTTCTCCTTCGTTCCAACTATGCGACGCACTGGTGAAGAGGTCGCAGGCTCAATACCGCCATATCGCCACTGGCCAGCAGAGGGCAGGCGGTGACCAGCCTTCTCGCCCAGCTGAACATCCTCTCCACCTTCAGGCCCCGCGGGACTAGGACAGGTGAGCCCAGGTGTGCGCACTTCTGAAAAGATCGGTGGGTTCGGGAGCTACGGGCGAGGTTCGAGCCAGGGAACGTTTTTTCCCTTTGGATCTGTGGTTCTCGGCCTGCCGTGTATCAAAGACCTCTCCGACAGCCTTTGAGGATGTACTGCCTCTGCAAAGAAGACGAGCTGAGAAGGCTCAGGAGGTGAGAGAATTTGCTGTAAAAAAGGAGGGCACAGGGAAAGGCTTGGAGGGGTGGGGCGCAACGGCAAAGTACTTAGAAAGTACTGGGTGGGGGGAGTGAGAGGTGGCCGCCTTTGTTCTGTGACCCACGATGACCGGGTCTGGTTGGAACTTCAGTTGTCTTTTGGCAAAAGTCTTCTGGCGTCAGTCCTGAACCCAGGAAGTGCCTGGCTGGTTCAGAAGAGCTCTGCTGGGAGCAGAATATCTCAGGGTGGCCAGAGGGCAGTGCCATACTGGAAACAAGTCTGTGGAAGCACTGTGTTTAACTGTTACTTATAACAGTGAAACATTGGGAATTCCTCCAGCAAGCGAAGGAAGGAAGGAAGGAAGGAAGGAAGGAAGGAAGGAAGGAAGGAAGGAAGGAAGGAAGGAAGGAAGGAAGGGTGGGTGAGGTCAGAGGTTGGGGCTGCAGATGCCACAGTCCCTTCTCTTTGAGCTATGACCACTTGCATGGGCAGCAAGACTGCCTGTGGGAGCAGCTCCTCTACCACTCCTGGTGGCCCCATTGAAAGTGGAAAGGGAGGCAGGATTACCTGCTGCTGACTTGGGGGTTGGGGGGTAGGCAGTTGGTATCTGACTAGGGTTGCCAGATTTAGCAAATAAAAATAAATGATGCTCAGTTAAAATTGAATTTCAAATCAAAAAATATATTTTTAGTATATGTCTCATACAATATTTGAGAGACACTTATACTAAAAAATTATTTGTTGTTTGTCCGAAATTTCAATTTAGCTAGATATCTTTTATTTTTATTTGCTAAATCTGGCAACCCGGTGCCTGGCCAAACAGCCAAGGAGAACCCAGCACGTGGGATTTGCTGTCGGCAACGGCCTCCCACCCAATGTTGCCACATTCAGCTTCCACCTGTCACTGCCCTGCTCCAGAACTGTGTGTGGCTCCCAGCTGCTTCCATAGCACAGTTTGGACTCCCTGGCTGCTGTGCTGGGCCTTGGCTTGTCAGCCCAGCTGCCTTGCTTGGGCCCTTTCCCGTCTCTGCTTCTGCTCATGTTTTTACTGCTTAGCATGTCTCCTGCCCAATCCCAGTAGCAATTGCAAACACTTATTGGGCACCTACAGGGTGCAGGCAGGATGCTGACTTCTTTATTTGCATTGGCTGACTGGATTCTCACAAAACCTGGTACAGTAGGAACAACAGTTATCTTTCCTTACCAATGAAGACGCTGATGCTCTAAGACGGTGATTCTTAAAGTTGGTCCCTGGACTAGCAGCAGCAGCACCTGGGAACTTGTTAGAAATGCAAACTCTCAGGCCCTACTCCAGACCTATTGAATCAAACTCTGCGGGTGGGGCCCAGCCATCTGTATTTTATAACCTCCCCCAACCAGGTGATTCTGATGCATGCTCTAGTTTGAGACCTGTTGCTGGAAGAGATGAAGTGACTGCAGGAGTCTCCCATCCAGGCAGA